TCTCTTTGGAGTGTACTTTCACTTCTAATAAGCTGCTCCTTCACCACTGTATTTCTGTGTTTCATTCCAGTTTTTGCTCGAGACACCAGGAACTCTGACACCATGCCAAGAAGGGCTTGACCTCTTACCAGTACTGCTATTTACCATCTTGGGATAATTGAGAAAATAGTTAACTCAAATCATTTTCTATATTTTATGATTTAGATAAAACCAGGTACCAGTTGAAAAAGACTGCATGAGGACTCAATAGAATATAGATGTAATACATAATCAGCATAATGAATGGCATATGGGAAGCGCTCAGTAATATTATTTCCTTTCCCTCTCTACAGCAGGTTAGAAAAAAACTGGGTTGAGGATCTCATCAAAGATGACAGCAGTGCCCTTCCTCATTGTGATTCCCAAGGCCAGTTTCTTAGCACTCACCTGTTCCAGAATGGCAATTGTTTTCCTATAAGAAGGCACTTTTGAAGAAAGATAGGATAGGAATATTGATTGTCAGAGACAGGGAAAAGCATTTGTCAACAAAAAAACATCCAGCTTAAGAAAAAGCTTATAAGAGTTTACTTGTACCAAACTGATGTCAATTGCCGGGAAGCAAAATCTCGATAGATTGAGAAAATGCTCCCCAAAATGGTGATTTGCAGCTTATTTTATATGTAGCATCAAAGGAGGAAGGTTACATGAAATTCATTGGTGGTAGATTAAGGGGGTGGGAGAAAGCAAAGTGGGGAAATCCCTGGGATTGGATAAAAGTAAATTGGAGAGACAGGTACTTCTTTTACATTGGTGACTACAGAATAGTTAATAGCTCACTTTTTATAGCACATAGAGATGGTAATCAGGAAACAAGAGTAATAATGAGGAATTCTGTAGTTTCCTGCTCTGGTCCAGAAAAAGGGACTACTGACATTCCAAAGATGTTATCTGAAGTGCAAAAAGACAATAGACAGGCTCACTTGAGGTAAAGATTAATCTTCTAAAGGAAGTTTCAAGCTAAAGATGTGACTTCCTTCCATGGCTCACCTTAGTTAGGAATTTTTATGTTCATGCCATCCCTCTGTGGTTATTTTTAGTCTCCTGAGCTTGTCAGGTTTAACATGTGGCCCCTTTTCCATCCACACATTCCATCAGGCATTTCATAGGAGTTATCTTCTTTAATTAAGGATCTAATGGGGATCACACTAGTGGCTATACTGGAACAGCCAGGACCATATAGTTACTTCTCCCCTGAATTTGTCTACTTGTTTCTTTCCACTTCTTGTCTGTAAGCTTACGTGGGCTAGTCTTTTTTTTTTTTTGTAACTTATGTCTATAGTGCCTAACACACAACCAATAATCAAAATGTCTGTGATGGATTAATGAATTAATGTACTACAAGGAAAGCCAGAAGGTATGAAACTATTGGGTTGTCGGAAAAGTCATGATGTATTTTGTCTGTGTTTTGCAAAGGTCATTTATTTATATAAAAAACAAAGATCCATCAATGATATATTGCCCGTTTTCTTCGACAACCTTTTGCCATCTTTCAGTGAGCTTCATAATTCCTCGTTCATAGGAGGACCTGTCTTTATTTGCAAAAAACTGAACAAGATGCTGATTTACAGCCTCATCTTAATTGACTGTTACAGCACACAAGGAGTTTTGAAGAGAGCAAAACAAGTGGAAGTCTGATGGTGCAAGGTCAGGCGAGTATGGTGGGTGTGGCAATACATCCCATCCAAGCTTCAATAATTTTTGACAGGTGATCAAACTTGTGTGTGGTCTCGCATTGTCGCGATGGAACACAACTCCTTTACAATGAACAAACTCTGGACGTTTCTGGATGATGGACTTGTTCAATCTGTCAGATTGCCAACAGTACACATTCGAATTGATTGTTTGGTTTCTTGGTAGGAGCGTGAAAAATATGACATCTTTAAAATCCCACCACACTGAGAGCATAACCTTCTTCCGATGAGTGTCTGCTTTCGATGTCGTTTGAGGAGAATCATCACATCGGGACCAAGACCATTTGCACACCACATTGTTGTAAACAATCCACTTCTCATCACCAGTTATTAGCCGCTTCAAAAAAGAATCGTTTTCCTCATGTTTAATGAGCATGTTGCAGATGTTTATACACGCCATCGAGTGAACTTGTTTGAGTTTATGTGGAACCCAAATACCAAGCTTGCTTACGTATCCCAGTTTCTTCAGGCGGTCGTGAATGCTTGAATGATGGATGTTTAATGTTTCTACAATCTCTCGTGTCGTGTAACATGGGTTTGACTCGATCCATGATTTATTTTGTCATCATCAACCTTGGTGGGCTTCCCTGACGGAGGAGTGTCGTTGAGATCAAAATCACCAGCACAGAATTTTGTGAACCATCATTGGCACTGATGTTCTCGTAGAGCATTGTCACCATAAACTTTATGCAACTTTTCACAAGCTTGACACGCGTTCTTCCGTTTATGGAAGTAAAACAGTAAAATATGGCAAAAATGCACAGTTTGGTCTTCCATCTTCAACTTGTAAAATCTCCAAATCTCAACCAAAGCACTCAATTATTTTTAGAATGAAGCTTGAACTGTCAGCTGTCAAATGACATAGCAATAACATAGATGCGAATGATTTTAGCACTTCCAAAAATAAACTAGTTCCATCTGTCACAAACATGAGTCATGACTTTTCCAATAGTTTCTAATGGGTTCAATAGAAGAGGACTGTGGAACAAACCCCTTGCCTTTCATGGAACTTTTAGCTCTGAGGCACTTTAGGAAGAGAAATTCTTCCCATATCAAGGAGGATGAGTTCTTCACCTCTCTGAGCTGAAAGCAACTCATGTCTAAGTTTCGTTTGGCAAGAGAGAGGAAAAGGTGATATAGGATGGCTGCATAATCAGTCGAGTCAGCTTACATGTAAGCTCTCTACAACCCCCAGAAGGGAAAGAACACCTTTATATGTTCTAGCATTTCACAAGCTTTTGGGCAAGAAGTTCTCTAATCTCAAGTCCCCAGTGACTTCATAAGTCCATTTTTCTCTTTTCACATCTCATCTAGTCAAGCTTGGCTAAACATATCCTGGGAACCACCCCACTAAATGCTTATCTTTGTCTCTTCGAATGGTGTCTATGATATGTCAATGCACAGACACACCACACTGACATAGTTTCACCAGCAGTGTCTCTTTAAAGAGGAGGGCCTTTGGAAGGCAGGACACTCTACAATAAGAGCCTTTTCTGTGCAAGGTTCAGAGCTGTTGCTGTGGCAACTCCTGAAACCTGAGCTGAGTATCCAAATAAATAGTTTGTTCTGAGAGAGAGAGAGAGAGAGAGAGAGAGAGAGAGAGAGAGAGAGACAGAGAATATCAATGATATCAGTGAGATTTGCCACTGGCTTCTATTTGGAGTTTTGGAGTTAGTGAAAAATTATTTTCCTAAAACAACAAAGAATTCAAGCCTCTGGAAAAAGCCCACTCCCCTGAAAGGCAACGGATGTGAAATGGAAGAGAACTGCGTGCAGGAACCTTAGCGGGAGCCCTTTGCTTTGGAGAGAAGCTCCCAGCTGCAAACACCCAAGCAGAAAGAAAGAAAGAAAACCGCGGGGCAGCCGACCCCACATTCCAGCAGAGAATCAGCCTCCCTGCTGTGGTGCCAGCCTCTGCCTGCCTCTCTCTCTCTCTCTCCCCCCTCCTCTGCTTCTTCCCCAGCCTCGCTCAAGCAATGGAGGACCTCCGGTTAAACAAAGAGAGTGGTATGCATCAGAAATATTTTTTCCCCTTTATGTAATAGGTGATTTGTGGAAAATTAATTGCAGGAAATGGCACAGCAAAAAAAAAAAAAAGCGTCAGGGTTGCTGGTTTGATTCCCAGCCTGAGCTGAGCTGCCGCTGAGCTGCCAACAGGTGGAAGGATGGCTCANATTTCAGCATTCCCCCTCCCAGGCAGAAAAAAAGTATAAAACTCAAGCCTTTTACCCTAGCTAGGGGACATCCCATTTTCCAGGTAGCCCCTCCCACTTGGGAGCTGTAACCTTTCTCTTGCTTTAATAAAACTATCCTCTGATACAAACTCTACTTCTCTGGTCCGTGTCTCCATTCTTCGGCTTCATGAAACTACGACCCCGGCACAAGAAATATCCTACATCAAAACTAAATGGGCTTTTACCCTGTGAGTTCTGCTCCTTGGGCCAGCACTTTTAATTATTAACCAAAATCTATCTCTCCTCATCTAAGGGCTATTAGGATACAAATAATGCCCCAGCAAGGCTTCCAGTACATTTTGACCAAAGAGGTTAATGTGGCCTTCCAGGTGGATCTCAAGACTTCTTTCCCTCATCTAAGATCAGATAGGACAAGAGTTCTGTGAATTCCCAATAGGCAGGGACAATGACCACATTCAGCAGGAAGCAAATACAGAAGAAGAGACCTCCTATTCCTCAACTTCCCATAGAGATTTATAGGGATCACGCTTCTCAAGGGAAATGAGGCAGGCAGTTAGAGATAGAAATGCGGTCTCCAAATATTCCTGCACGTTTGACATGGCCCATGGAGAGTGACCACGCAGCCACCTCCCAAAAATTTCATCTCTAAGCCCAAAGTTTTCCCTTACCTACCATAACCATTAACCACTATGGAAACACTAGGAGACACAAACTACCTAACTGGATTAGACCAGTCACTCATACCTGTGCAATAAAGGTTACAACAACCTTCATCTCACCTTAGCCTCATTATATCATTATTGTAATATCATGCATATGCCCAGAAGTTCATTAATATCATTATACCAGACTGAATTCTGGGAAGGAACATGTGCAATCTAAAAAGATGAGGTTGTAAAGGGGAGCAGGTGCCAGGGACCTCCCAGCTCTGAGACACAGCACCAGGAAGCTGAGGAGAGGCCCCGGGGCTCGGGGATTTCAGCTGGGCTTTCCCACCCACCTCCCTTACAGTTGCTGCCCTGTAGGCATGGGGCCCTCCCTTTTAACAAATAAATAAAGAATAAATTAATAAATTAATTAATTAATTAAAAGATGAGGTAATAGCATCTTGTCAATATCATAGGTGCCAATCAAGTAAGTGGCCCCATACCTGGAGAG